TAATGAGTTGCTATGACAGGAACGTTTGGAATGAACATTGAATTGACTGCATAACAGAAGGATTTATATTCTACTGAACCTTTACTATTAACTCCTGAAATACCTGTGACATTAGCTATTTTAGACTCAATGTATAAACAATTACCATAACATACGTATGGAACAGATTTCATCTCAATCGTTTTGTCAACACTTTTCAAAGGTAGTTGCATATGGTATGCTCCCAGAAGCAATTGAACTCTATGACTCATTCGTGTTATCTTGAACTCTTTCTTGCTACTGAACTTCAATGTTCCCTCAGAAGAGAGTTCGACATCTATGTTGTCAATAGTTTCTTCATTTATGAGAGTATCTATGACTCCAGCAATTTTATCTATTCTATACTCTGCTCTGTTAGGAAATGTTATAAAACTTCTTTTGTCATCTATTTCAATCTCTATGAAATCTGTTTCATCTGTTATGACAAAAGTTGCGATAGTATTGAAGTCAACAACTCTGAAAGCAAGTGCTTCATTCTGAAGACCTAAGTTTGTTTGAAGCTTTACTGTTCCATATTCGTTTGGGTCTGTACTTTGCAAATAGAACAACATTTTATTCTCATTAAAATATGACTATTGCTGCATATGCGTATGAAACAAATGAAGCAAGAAGAGCACATGAACTAGTAAACGAAAACTCAACTTTAACCCATTGAAGGCAATGATTTAGTCATTGACGATGGAAAAACTAAAAAAGTCATTGATTTCGATACTTTTAACACTTATGACCCATTCATTACAATAAGTAAAGTTCCTATCATAAATGATGGAACGGTGCAATATATAAATTCTACAGTAGATACCTCATTAGTGAAAGTACTGAATGTTCTCATTGAATTGTTAAAGAGCTTTCGATTTGACGACAACATTAAATGCTAAAGAATTTAGTCATGAATGAGAAACAAATTCTTGGCGTTGCTGGTAACAGTAATGATGTACACCTTATGACATTAGAATATTATAACGAACATAAAGATGAACTGAAAGGAGAGAAGGGTGACACCGGACCACAAGGACCACAAGGAATACAAGGAACAAGGAATACAAGGAATCAAGGACCTCAAGGCGAAAACGGTTTGGATGGAAAGGATGGAAAGGATGGAAAAACTGCTAAATCATGGATATGGGACCTTATAAATACTGGTTTAACAGCTGCTTCATATGGAGTTCTTCAATACCAAATCGGAAAGATATGGGCAGTACTTGGTGAAGAAGCTTTAGATGACGTTAAAAATGCTTTGAACTTCATTTCAAATGGTTCGGATACTATTAAAACTTTATCTGGTTGGATGCAAGAAACAAGGAGTCAAATAGATACTGTAAGACGTATAGCAAACAATGCACGTACGGGATTGGATACTTTACGAAAGCACAAAATACACTAAAGGAAGCAAATGATATTCTTGGCTCAGTATCAGACATGCATGAAGATTGGCTTAAAGGTATTGACAAATCTTTAAAAAATCACAGTCAGTCTATTGCTGACTACAAGAAAAGTATAGATTTTTTACATAGTGCTATGGACGTACATGATGGAAGCATAAGGAACTTACTTAATGCTAACAATAACTTACCAGGAACTATTAAAGCATTTATAAAGTCCTTTGTAAAACCCGGTGCTCTAACATTTAGGTCTTTGAGAGCAAGAGCATTGAAGTCAAGAGATGCAGAAACTCCAACAGAACCTACAGAAGGAACTGAAACAACAGAAACTCCAGAAGAACCACCAAAACCAACAGCTAATGAAATATTGTTCGAATATTTTCCAAGGTACTCTGTTCTCATTGCATACATTCAAGAAATACTTAAGAAAGCAGACTTGACTTTAGGAGATGATGAAAGTTCTGTATATCTTTCGTTCCAGTTTCAAATAGCAGAACTTTTGAGACAGATATGCTTAATGTATGACAACATCTCTGATTTCACAAAATATGATGACGACCATGACCCCGAACATGGTGAAGAAGAAGTTTTACAAACATCCATTAAGACAGGAAAGGTTTTAACTCAAAGTCTCATTATTGACACCAAAGATGGCGAAGTGGACGTTCTTCAAGAGCTGAAGAAAAATACTTCTTCGGGAGGTGGTGGTAGGCATGAACTTGAAATAAATGAGATAGAAGAGAAATTAGCCAAAAAAGCAGATAAAGAACATAAACACAATATCTCCGATATAAATGAACTTCAAGCTACATTAAATAGTAAAGCGGACAAAAATGAACTTGACGCAATGAAGAAAGTTTTGAAATCTCATAAACACAATATCTCCGATATAAATGAACTTCAAGCTACATTAAATAGTAAAGCGGACAAGAACCATGTTCATTATATAAGTTCAGATGAACAGATTATAACGGACTATCATGGATATTTAACACGAAGTGATGAAGCGAAACAAAAAATGTTAATGAAAGAAGATATAAATACATTCGTGCTAAAGGTTATGACATAAGCTGTACTGTACAGTATGATGTAGCTAAAGCACCAGAAGCATTTGGTTATACCGGTGAAATTTATGCCTCTACTTTCAATGTTAACGGTGTATTAGTTGAACCAAGATTTACTTTGAGAGTTAAGTCAAAAATAACGTTTGAAGATGCTATTAAAAGTAAAGCTGACAAAGATGAACTTGACGCAACGAACAAAGTTTTGAAATCTCATAAACACAATATCTCCGATATAAATGAACTTCAAGCTACATTAAATAGTAAAGCAGACAAAAATCATACACATAAATCCTTCACTACTGTTAGAGCTGATGACATAATACTGAACTTTGACCTTGGTTCAAGTGCACCTTTAGAGAATCCAAGTACAAGCGTAAAAGATACTCTTAACAATTTAGATAAGAGTTGCAGGAATATCGAAGATCATGCCAGAAACTTTGAAGCATATGAACTACCAACAATGTTAGATAAGAAAGCAGACAAAACAGAGCTTCAAACAATGAAGGCCCAGATTCTTCAAACATTATATCCTGTTGGTTCTATTTATACGTCAATGAACTCAACAAATCCAGCAAGTGTTTTAGGTTTTGGTACATGGCAGCAGATTGTAGACAAATTCTTATACTGTGCTAACTCTTCAAAGCAAACAGGAGGTTCGAAGAAAATTAAAGAAGCAAACCTTCCACCGCACACTCATACAGGAACTACAAACTTTTCTGGCGACCATAGCCACTCATTAAGAGACCATCCATTATACAACTCAGAGTATGAAGCTGGCAATGATGTTTTATCTCCATCTTATAACAATGCAGCAAAAAAGACTTTTCGACAAACTGAACCGGGAGGAAATCATGTCCATACTTTCACAACAAATCCAACAGGCTCGGGTGCAGATTACATGCCACCATTTGTGACTGTATTTGCATGGTACCGCGTTCAATGAACGCGCTTGAGCCTGCTTTGCGGGCTTACCGTCTTGAATAAAATCTTTAACTTTACATAAATGAGCTTGAAAGAAGTATTCGAACAACATCCATGGAGGTCATTTAAGAAGTTCAATGAAGCTGCAAAGAGTTGGGGATTTACTAACAGAGCTGAAGTGAAAAGGTTCTTTGACAAAAATGTTGTACATCAAACAAAAATAAACCCTTACGACTACTTTTTACCAATTTACTCCAACACTCCTGACGCATACCAATTTGACACTCTCATTCAAAGCAGAAAAGGAGGACATAAACCATTCCTCATCTTCATTAATGTTAACACTCGTAAAGCATATGCATATCCAATGAAAAATAAAGGAACTCGTGAAGTTTTAAGAGTTTTACAAAAGTTCGTGGCAGAACATAACCCAAGTACTTTAACATCAGACCAAGACAGTGCATACCTCAGCAATGAAATCACAGAATTTCTCATTAAGCATAACATAACTCACTACACTACTGAAGACCATAACCATAACATACTCGGCATCATAAACCGCTTCATAAGAACGCTCAGAGATTTAAATCAAGAGCGAGACTTTACCGAAGAAACAATGAAACATTTTCTCGAAGTATATAATTCCTCAACGCATTCTACAACAGGCCATACACCAAATTCAATGACACAACAACAAGAAGAAAAGTATATACAAAAGAAACGAAGTCAAACACAAAATATCAGAAATTCAACATAATTTACCCTCATTCCTGGTACAAAAGTTCGTGTAGTTCTTGACGACAAACCGTTGACAAAGAAACGTTTAAGGTTAAGTCGAAATTATTATATCGTAGACTCTACGCAAGGTAATGGATATCTTATAAAAGCTGCTGACGACTCTATTGCGTTTTATCCTCGTCATAAATTAGTTGAAAGTAGTAATGGCAAACTTGCTGAAACCATTGACGAAGCAAAGCGAGGAGTGGTTATTGAAATACTTGACTACAACATAAACGATGACACTTATAAAGTAAGATATGAAGGAGGCGTTGAAGATGTTATACCATCTAAGAACTTGAGAGAGTCAAAGCCAACACATCTGGGACCATTAGAGCGGGAGTACTGGAAAGACAAAAATATGCCAGAAAGAATAAGAAAATTCTTCTAAACTTTTTCATTAGATGTAAATCAGACATGAATGAGAACAGTCATGATATCATTAATGTTTTCATAAATTTACACCAAAAATAATGTTTATGTTAGAATGTTAGATCTAACACGTTTTCTAACCTCATTTCTAACCTCTTGAATTTGTCATGAATTTCCTTAAGACAGAAAAAATAAAGTTAGTTTTATTTTTATTTATTTTTTTATTTTGTATGTAAAGACATATATGACAAACATTGAGTTTGAAACAGTTAGAAAGATAGACAATGACACCAAATTGGTTAGAATAGGTGATTTAAACGTAAGATACTCAAAGAAATACAACAAATATTCTTTGTCAGACATTTTATCTCCATCTGGAAAGAGACCGATGGACTGGGTTAGAATTGCTTCTACTCAGAAAATTTTGACAAGAAATCCTAAGCTCATGATATCAGTAGCATTTCATGGAACAAGAGCATATCTTATAGACAAAAGTCTTATACCAATAGTTTTGTTATGGTTAGACCCAGTTGTTGGATATAACTTCATAACATATGGTTCATTCGATACGGAACGTTGCAGTGAAGGCTTACTTTACATCGTTCAGAAACCGAAGGACTTCAATACAAAGAGATATAAGATAGGAAGAACATATAATATAACTCAAAGATATGACTCTACAGTCAATAGAGTCAAGGTTGTGTTTGTTAATGATATGAGAGCTGCAGAAACAGAACTACTTGAAAAGTTTGAGAAAATGTATGGTGCTCCCATAAAAGGTAAAGAAACGTTTGAAGTAGATGAGATAGATAAAGCTATAAAATTATTTGACGAAGTTGCTGAAAAATACATGTAAAGCGTTTATTTTTGGTCTTTTGTGAAAGATAGAAAAAATAAAATTAGTTTTATTTTTATTTATTTTTTTATTTTTTTGTATGTAAAGATATGATTTCAGGGATTTTTTTGTATTTGACGAGAATGTTTATGTTAGAATGTTAGATCTAACACCTTTTCTAACACGTTTTCTAACCTCTTGAATTTTCATGACTTCTTCGTAAATGTTTTGTCATGACTTCTTCGTAAATGTTTTGTCAAGACTTCTTCATCGTAATGAGCGTAAATGTTTTGTCAAAACTTCTTCATCGTAATGAGCGTAAATGTTTTGTCAAAACTTCTTCGTACATGTTTTGTCAAAACTTCTTCGTAAATGTTTTGTCAAGACTTCTTCGTAATGAGTGTAAATCAGACAAAAATAATGTTTATGTTAGAATGTTAGATCTAACATCTTTTCTAACACGTTTTCTAACCTCTTGAATTTGTCATGAATTTCCTTAAGACAGAAAAAATAAAGTTAGTTTTATTTTTATTTATTTTTTTATTTTGTATAAAAGATATGATTTCAACAATCGGCACAACAACAATTCAAACAACAGCACCAAACTCGTTAGTCATGAATCCTACGTCAATGTTGGTAGAGATGAAAAACTTCATTCCTTCTTCATATACTTTCGAAACAAAAATCCAGAAGATAAAGCAAGAACTTTTAACAAGTAATTTAGACTGTAGTGCGAAAGATGAAGAAAATGAAGAATATCTTTATGAAATGCAGGACATTATTGACCATTTACCCAAATTGCCTGAAATCCAACAACAAAAACTCACTATTCCTGAATTCGACGAAATTGAAGTTAAAGTTACTGACTCAGTAGAAATAAAGAAGTTCATACGTAAAGTAAATTATGAATTCCTTGGTTTTCATTGCAACCATAAGGTTATGGACAAAGATTGCGACATGGTATATAAGAATGTTTCTGACATATATAAATCTGAAGAATTTAAGACCTACGACAACTTTGTTTCGTTAGTTGCTGAATGTGTTTGGGAAATAAGAGATAAAGATAGAAGAGGCAAAGTATGGAACAAACAAATAAGACCCGCTATGTTTGAGATGAAGAGAGCAATTGACGCCTTAGTTGTTTTAGCTGGTTTTATTTCAATGTATAACGCAAAAATGAACCCGCAATGTTCAAAATGTAAGGCAGCAATTAGGAAATATAACTACTCAGTCAAAGAGATAGAAAGAATGAGAAACGACTATGCAGACTTAAAGAAAGAAGCAGAAAAGCCAGCAGAAGATAAAATGGACATGTTAGAATTTCTGAACAAAAACTATCCAACTGCTGACGATTTCCTATTATCTGACGTCAAGAAGAAGTATAAAGAAACTTTCGGCATAGTTAAAACATTCGATGTACTAAAAGAAGAAATAGAAGCTACAAAACTGTTTAAAGTCATGAACCATCGCAACATATACCATGTAAAACGCTTGTAAATAGTTATGTTAGAAAAGAGGTTAGAAAACGTGTTAGATCTAACATGTTAACATAAACATTATTTTTATTGAATTCAGCAACAAAATTCTTCGATGTTAGAAAAGAGGTTAGAAAACGTGTTAGATCTAACATGTTAACATAAACATTATTTTTGCTGAATTCAGCACAAAATTCTGAGTAAAATGGCATATGGCATGTGTCAAACCGTTGAGTTTTCACAAAATTCCAAAAATAACGTTTACCATGTAAAACGCTTATGTTAGAAAAAATGTTATTTTCTAATATTCTAACATAAACATTATTTTTGAGGAAAAAAATGAAGGTTCTATACGGTTTCTAACCGTTAACAAGCTTGCCTTTTACATTCTGCCTGAGGAAGTCTTTAACAAGCTCGTTAATTTCAATTAGGTAAATTGCCTCGTCGGTAGGTTCGACTTCGACCATTGCTACTGACAGTAGCAGTACTTTTACTGACAGTAGCAGTACTTTTACTGACAGTAGCAGTACTTTTACTGACAGTAGCAGTACTTTTACTGACAGTAGCAGTACTTTTACTGACAGTAGCAGTACTTTATCGTCGAAAACCCTCTCAAATTTTCCTTTTTACTGACATTAGCAGTACTTTTACTGACAGTAGCAGTACTTTTACTGACAGTAGCAGAGATTTTTATCGTCCAACTTTACAAATGTAAACTTATATCGTTCTATTTTCTTCACTAGGGTCTAACACCAAAGTAACCTATGTACATGAAATTTCACTGCATAAAAGGAAAAAACCTGCGCGAATCGGGATTTGAACCGAGGTCTTCGACGCCTTTAACGAGGTAGCCCATACCACTGAGCTATGAGCCGCTTGCATATTTTTAAGTAAAATATAGTATATTTGTCATACCGTGAAGGATGACCAAACTTAAAAAAAATAAAGTTAGTTTTATTTTTATTTATTTTTTTATTTTGTATGTAAAGACAGTAATGTCAACAACAGAGAACACAACAACAGTTATAGTCCATGAAGCTATAAATGAAGAATACGAGTACATACAGTTTAACAAACAACTCCGTCTCATTCGTTCGGTCAAAGACGATATGTACCAAATGCAAAGTATTTTGACAGCATGTTTTGCTCCAGATACTAAGCTTCCTAAAGACTGGTTTAGGAACCAAAGCACACAAGAACTTTTGAGCGAAGCACAGCGAGACATACTTTTTTCTGAAAACAGTGAAGAACAGCGAGACATACTTTTTTCTGAAAACAGTGAAGAACAGCGAGACATACTTTTTTCTGAAAACAGTGAAGAACAGCGAGACATACTTTTTTCTGAAAACAGTGAAGAACAGCGAGTAGGTAAAAAACCCCAGTCGCCAAAACTCTATGAAAATCGTGAAAAATTGCCAAACGGTTTGAGAGGATATTATGTTCATAGACTTCTCGTAAATAATGTGGCACAATGGGCTTCAGCTCGCTATTCATGGTATGTTTGTAAACTTCTTGACGAACTTCACAGACAAGAACGTGGAGAGATGGAAAAGAAACTTCAAGCAAAAGATGAAGTCATTGAATCCAAAGACAAAAGCATACAGAAAAGAATACCGCGTTCAGTACCAAAAGGAACGGAAAAGAGTTATAAGTATATGATATATACTGAAGAGTTGGAGAAAGAAGAAGACAGAGATATGGTTATGTTGCATTTAGTCAGAAGAAACAACAAAAGCTTTTATGACCTTGCTAAAATATATAAATCTGACAGAAACTGGTTCTATCGTGAAAACTTACCGATTTCAATGACACCGAATGAGCAAATAAAGGAAATTGTCAAAAATACTCTTCCTCAAACACACTATGACATCAAAGGTTGTACAATACTTACATTTAAAGAAGACTTAACATTACTGAAGGAAAAAATAACAGAATATTTCGACAACTTCAAAGAGGAAGAATAAAAAAATCTAAGCTAATTTTATTTTTTTATAAAATTTTATCTCATATGAAAGAACATGAATTTAGAATATTCGGAACTCTTAACAGAAGAAGAGAACGAACAACATGTAAAAGATTATGCAAAATTTTTGAAGACATACAAAGCATTTAAACAATATCTAAATGCTTCTAAAGATTATGCAAAATTTCTGAAGGTATATAAAGCTTATGAAAAAGCGTATGAAAAGTTTATACATTGGGGAATTGTTGTAAAATATCGATATGAAGAATGAACAAAAATATATTTTTGCTTAAATAGCTTCAGGGTCAATTTCTTCAACCATTTCACTTCCTTCGTCAATGTCAATTGAAGCTTCTTCAACCTTTGGTAAGAATTTCTGTATAACATCTTTGTTCGTTATTGTCTTCAGAGATGAAGGATAATATTTCACATTTGTTTCACCTTTCTTATATTCTTTCTGTTCGGAAAGATTTAAAGCAATACTGAAGAAGTCAACGTTAGAGTTCTTTATGACAGTATAATGAGTATCTTTGACATTCACGAAGAAACTCTTTTGTTTCAAAACTACTGCTAACTCTTGTGAAGTATAACGTTTGCGGTCAATGACGATAGCTAATGGTCTGACATACTGACCGAACTTAGATTCTTTCACAAACTTCTTGTTAAAGATAACATTAACATTTGAAGCATTATTGAACTCATTCTTGATGGCAGTAGCGAGAGCATTGTATGAAAAGAACTTGCAATCTTGCATGTGTTTCATTAAAATAAAAATATTAAATTATTTTGAAAAATAACTTAAAAAAATCTAATCTAATTTTTTCAAAAAATATTTTTTTATTTCCTACTAAAGATGTACCGGAAGTTGTCTAAGTTAGAACACTCGGAAATAAAACAACTTCTTACAGAAGCTAATATAGATGTTGCAAAACATTACGCAACAAACAAAAAAGCACTCGCTGACATCCTCAATGACTATAATGGTGCAATAAGTTATGATAGAATTCATGAGTTCATAAATGCAAGAACTTTTCCTTTAAATGACGTTGCTATTGACTTATATCATAGACGTTCAGTACCTCATGAAGTAAGAAGAGAAATGTTTGACATAACAAATGCGAACGTTGGTCATACTCGTAAAGCTCTTTCGCATGATGTTCGTCAAGAGATGTTTGACATAACAAATGCAAACGTTGGTGAAACAAGAAGAAGAGACGACACACTGAAACAACAGAGAAGAGAGATGTTTAAGAGCGCTATAGAACAAGTTCGCAAAGCTAACGATGTCATTCGTTCCATTGACGACAAACCAAAAGAAGGTGAGAGATGGTTAAAGAAAGATGAAGAGAATAGGAAGAGAAATGTGAAGTCACGCAATAGACTCATTGACTTTAACATCGAAGCTTTAGATGAACCAAACAGAGACTACTTACACAAACATTTCGGTAAGGTTTTCATGAGACTCTTAGAGAAAATTAAAATAAACTCACAACAGAGATGGATGGTATGTTATAAACTTGGTGGAAAGTATGAATGTTCTACGTTAAACCTCAATAATATTGGAACATTACTACATCAGCTCTTGAAGGAGAACTTTATATCAGAGATAGAAGCAAATGCTGCAGGTATTGTTGAAATGCACTATGACTTCTTCTGACAAACATAAAGAATCTTACTGAAATAAAGATGTATGATTTAACAGAATATGAAGGCTTAACGATGTCAGATGTAAAGAAAGGCAAACCAAAAAAGAGACCATATAAAGATGAAAGCACACTGACAAATGACCAGAAAGCCATTTTGGAAGCTCTTAAGCAAACAGGAAACCCAGCACTTATAGAAAGCTTTTGGAAAGATAATGGTGAAAAGAAGTTTTATAAGAAGAGAAGCGGTCAGTTCTGGAAGTATCTTTGCACATTACCTATAAATCTTGAGCGCTACCAAATCTTCAATGAATTGAACAAAAGAACTGCAACACTTATGACAGAAGACAATTGTTTCGTTTATGCTTGCATTCAGGCTGGAGTAGATGGAGAGACTATTGACCACATGAGAGAAGTCATTCGTGTTAGAGACTTTCCTCAAAGTAAAGTACAAGAAATTTCTGACGCAACAGGTATAGCATTTAATGTTACCATTGGTTATTTCAATGACTCAAGACATAATGAAATAAAGAGATATATACCAAAAGAATGTGAAACTGTTAGAACTATTGACTTACTTCTTGTTGAAGACCACTACATGTTAAACGAAAGATTACCAATGACAACATATTTCATTCGCAACTATATAGAAATTCTCAAAGCTTGTGGTGGAATGAACATTGAGAAACAGATGAAGATTTATACAAAGAGAGATGATAAATACATTGTTCGCATGGATAGAACTACACCGCTATGGGATGTTATGAAAACATTGTGGGAGTGCAAATATTTCGAACCTATTTCTTATGGAGAACTTTTCACATATACGACTGACTTATATAAACAGAACCTTGCACCATTTAAAGATTTGACATATGCTCCAAAGTATTGTGTACAACTGAAGAAGAAAGCAGAGTCAAAAGAAGTAAATAAAGCTAAATGTAAGTTCATTCCTGAGCACGTTTTCTTTGCTGACTTTGAGTGTAGTACGGATGGCTTTCATAAAGCTTTTAACATCTGTTATGACAGTGAAGATGGTTCAGTGAGTGAAAGCATTTGGGGTCAGAACTGTGCAACAGAATTTTTGGAGCGACTTCCTGACAAGAGTTTAATATATTTCCATAACCTCAGCTATGATATAAACTTCATCTTAAGACACATGACAGAAGTGAAAGGAACTCCCATCATTAAAGGTTCACGAACAATGCAAATAACTGGTTTATATAAAGGAAGGGCAATTATTATAAAAGACTCTTACAGTGTTATAAATAAGAAGCTTAAACTATTTCCTGCTATGTTTAACTTACAAACAGGACCGAAAGAAGTATTTCCATATAACTACTACAGCAGTATTTTGTTAGCAAATGACAACAGAACTGGTGTCATTTCTGAAGCATGTAAGTTTATCCGGGATGCAGATACATTCATGAAAAACATAGATTCCATCAAAGGTTGCAGAATAGATGAGAACCACTTCGACTTAGAAAAGTATAGCACATTTTATTGCAAACAAGATGTAAGAATTTTAAGAGAAGGTTTTGTTAAGTTCCGCAATGACATATTGAAAGAATTTGATTTAAACGTTTATGACTACGTTAGTATTTGTTCAATTGCTAACAAATTATTTGAGAACAGAGTATACTTCCCGAATGGAAATTTTATGACCTCTCAAATAAACCAAGAGAATTTATTTCACGCTGTATTCAAGGTGGAAGATGTATGTTGTCAGATAACATTAAACAAAAGAGCGAAAAGAAACTCATTGCTGATTTCGACGCTGTTTCATTATATCCATCCGCTATAGCAAGACTTTATACTTTAGAAGGTATTCCAAAGGTTATGAAGAAAGAAATGTTAAGCACAGAGTATCTCATGAGACATTTATTTGATGACGACCAAAAGGAACCCATTGGTGAAAAGTTTATGTCTGGCTTCTTTGTTCTCATTAAGATAACAGAGATTGGAATACATAGACACTTTCCTTTAATAGTTTGTGACCCTGAACTAAATCCAGAACTTAACGTTCCCAGAAGTTCAAACACTTGCTGTTTAATGTATGTTGACCATATAACATTACAAGACCTCATAAAATATCAAGGTGTCAAATGTGAAGTGTTGCAAGGATACTATTACGATGGAAACAGAGATATTAGAATAAGAGATGAAGTAAAGAAGTTGTTTGAGTTAAGGTTAAAGTATAAGAAAGAAGGAAATCCTTTGCAAGAAAATATAAAGCTCATTCTGAACAGTATTTATGGCAAAACTATTCTATCTCCGATTGAGTCAAAAATAACCATAGTAGATGACAAAGATGCTATAAGATATGCCATCAGAAACTACAACCATATAGTGAAGTTCGAAGGTTTGGATGGTTCAGATAAAACTATTTTCAAGCTAACGAAAAGTATTTGCAGACACTTTAACTTCTGTCCACTTGGTGTTAACATTCTGTCTATGTCGAAGAGAATAATGTGTGAAGTATTCTGTACTGCTGAGGACTTAGGAATGGACATCTTTTATAGCGATACCGACAGTATGCATCTCTACAATGAAGATATCCCTCGTTTAGCTGAAGAGTTTGAGAAACGTTATGGAAGAGTTCTCATTGGTAAAAACCTTGGTCAGTTTCATAGCGACTTCGCAGAAATCACAAAAGATAAACAAAGTTTAGCATACAAGTCAATATTTTGTGGAAAGAAGACTTACATAGACTTACTCACGAATGATTTAAATGAAGTTGCATTCCACTGCAGAATGAAAGGCGTGAAGCAAGATGTTATTGCTTTAACCGCTAATGAAATGTTTCCTGACTCTGTTCAGTGTTTCTATGATGAAGATAAAGGTTTAATGGTTCCGCAAGGAAAATTTGACAAAGACTCTGAGTTCAGTGTTATGAAACTTTACAAAGCACTTCATGATGGTCAAGAGATTGGATTTGACTTATGTAAGTCTTCTAGTCCTTGCTTTGCTGAAAAGTTTAACTTTTCTATTCAGACTAAGACTTCATTCATAAGAAAGCTTAAGTTCTGAGGTCATGAATGAGAAAAATAATGAGGTCATTTATTTTTGTCAGCAGTGAGACCATTCATGATAAAAATAAGCCGCTAGCGGCAAGGGCGAAGCCCATGAGGTCATTTACAATACTGCGATGGTAGAGTTTAAGAGTTGTGTTTCAATGTAGAGACAGTCCTTATGGTCTGGAGGTAAGAACACTGGGCAGTTATGGTCATGAGTGGAGAACATGTCTATCCAAAACTCACGATTGAAGCCAGTAAGCTTGTAATACTTAGGGTTAGGAAGTGGTGAAGTTCTTGTATGACCAATGAACTCATTTTCAACTCCCTTACTTAAGTTTGAATATAATATAGCTTGCTTTCTATCCCAAATGCCAGGTGTTACAATCTTTGAAAATTCATTTTTCCTCGGAAGCATTGCATCATAATTGAAAACATTTTTGAAATCATCACTTGGTTCAGAGATTTGAAATCTTATACGTAATGGATTTTTTTTCTTTTTAGCTACTTCATTGAATGGTGAGAATACAACAAACTGACAGTCATGAGTTCCATCTTCATTTTCATTAAACTCATAATGAAAGTCTATAAGTTGTGGCTGACTACCTTCTTCTTTCAGTTGTGCAAGAAACTCACGTAAAGGCTGTAAAGTTTGTACTTCAATGTTGAACTTTTTCTCGAACATCTCATTAAATGAAATCATACATTGCAACAACGTTGTATCGTCTTTAAAGTATTTATATATGTGAATGTTTTGGGCGCTAAAAGACTGTTCGTCATTTTCTATCTCGACTTGAAGTATAAAGTCAACCTTTCTGAAAGCACGTGTTATATACATAGATGTTATGCCAATGTACTTCTCTTCATTTATGTTCACAATCCAGTCTGTTGGAAACTTAAACGTTACTCTGTTCCCCTTTATTTTGACGTCAGGGTTTTCACTACTGAACGCAACAGATAAAGGTATTTGTCTATACATTTAATTCGGATAAAAATAAACCATTTACTCTTTCTTTGCTTCAGCTTCTTTAGCTTTTGCTTCAGCTTCTTCTCTAGCTTTTTTCGCCAGTAGTCTTGGGTTCTTTTGTCTTCCAGCAGCTAATGCAGCAAGTTGTTTTTCACTAAGTTTTCTCTTTGGTCTCTCTGGCTTTTGTTCTTGTTTTTGTTCCTTCAGTTCGGATAAAATTTGCTCACGAATTTCTTTCTTCAATGCTTCAACATCTATGACCCCTTGGGTCTTGTCCGTAGGGCTTGTCTGAGTCATTTGACTGCAGATAAAAAACAAAATTAAAACTTTAACCGATGTAAAATGAGCTTGTCAAAATCAGAGCGAGAGTCTATTATATTAAATGACGCAAGAGGAATACAACATCCTTTCTATTACGTAAGTCAGAGTAAAGATGGTAAAATATACGTAAGAAAAAGAAAGGTTCCATTAGCGAATGCAGAAAGCGACAACATTAAGGTGTATGGCAAGGGTGAAGTCCACGAAGCCCATATAAAACCTTCTGTTCAAACTGAAAAGTCAATAGAACCAGAAGAAAAGAAGCCAGATGTTCTTTCAATAACGAACCAAGAGCTTATTGCAAAGTTCGTGAATTTCATTGAAAAACAAACCGAGTCAAAGAACCCTGACCCACCAGTGAAAGAAGTTGAGACAAAAGAGAATGTACAGTTCATTGAAAATGTCAAGAAACAACTTCCACCACGAATGCCAAGAAGAAGAGTGAGAATAATGAAGTAAATAGATATTTTTATCCGAAGTAAATACATGCAGAACGAACAGCTAAACGAATTTACTCCAGCAGAGCATATTCATCAGATTCGCTCATATTTCGATATCATAGACAATGCAGTTCAAATTGGTGACACTAATAGAAAATATTCTGACGCAAAGATTCCATCACAACCTGGAACTGCTAAAGATAACACATGGGTAACATTCAATCTCTCACCTCCTGGTGAAAATATGTTGGACCTTTACAATACATTCATTACGTATAAAATGGAAGGTCAATTTATTGTAGATAAAGAAATTGGTTCAGGTTCCAATAAAACAAACCCACCAGGATTTTGGATTGGTTTCGATGACGCTTTCTATGCAGTTGCTGGATATCAAATCCTTGCAAATGGTCGTATCGTATATTCTCAAGACAACGCAAGAGAAGAAGCATATATAACTTCAAACTCACAAACTACCGAACAAATAAAGAAAGTAGATGTTTTCTCAAAGACTCGACATGAAGATGTATGGAGTCATTCGGGAACATGCAGAACAGGACAAATTGTTAGTGGTCCAATTACAGCAGGAAAATCATTTGATTTTAAGCTTCGTTTAAGAATTCCTGTTAGAAGATTCCTTCCATTAGAAGCTATTCGATTTATTCCAGCTTTTGCAGGAAACATTCAGCTTAAAGTAAAGTTCAGTAGCGACGCCTTACAATGCACATCTATATCTGTAAATGATATCATTGCTTTCAATCCAACTCTTAAAGTTGCATTTGCTTCAGATTCAAATCCACCGACAAATAAATTTGTTCCATGGAATGAACCATTCACTATGATAACGAAGGCAGTAGAAGCTAGTGGAACAGTTACTATTACAACTGTAACCCAGCAACTATTTCGAACAAAGATGGATTTTAATGAATGTTTCATTCATCCAAAGTCATTCTCTTTAGACCCTAACATTTATACAGAACTTGTAGAACATTATACAAACGAGGCTTTATGTTTTCCTGTTAAAGTTATGGATTGGATTCCTATGGACGGTTCATTCTCAAAGAATACAGATAGTTCAAGTGCAACATTTACAGCAGCTTATACGCCTATTAATGTTAAAAGTATTTGGGCACTATTTAGAAAGAAAGACAACTATTATGTTAATTTTGAGAACCCTAAGTTTAAATATCTTCAGCTTTCCATGGGAGCTTATGGAAATATGCCTGCAGAACCTGAAAAATCATATGGACCTGTATTTTATGAAATGGTTGCGAACGCTTGCAATACAAACAATGATATGATAGGATTTAATGAAGATGTTATGAGGTCATTGGTGGATGATGGTAGTGTGGAACATAAATGGGATAGCTATGACAACACACATTTCTTATGTGGTTTTCCAACAGAAGTGGACTTTTGCTTCCAGCAAGGTCAAACATCTACTGCTCCAATAACATACAAATTGTCTGTTAAAGGACCTATTGAACTAGCAACTGAAAACGTACCAAAGCCACTTATTGGATTTATGAGGGATTGTTGCTTTGCCATTCAGGTGCGTGCTAATGGAATCCATAATAAGATTAGATGACTATAACTTAGCACGACGACAGTGAGGAATAAAGGATGAACGTTTATTTTTAAAGCTTATAAATGAGTTCTTCATCAAGCTCTCGCGAACCTTCACCATCTATGAAACAAACTTTACCAAACGATTATGGAGCACCTATTGAATATTTCTTACGAGCTGCACAATGGCAAAGAGCAGTCTCACCAAGGTTAGGTGTTCCACCAGCTCCTGTCAAAAATAGCATTTGGTCAAGTCCTTATATAAGATATGGTCTCCCACTAGGTTTGCTAGCTACAGCAGTAGCAGTTATGATGTTGAAAAGAAATAAGGCAAATGTTGTAAATAATACTGAAGTAGCTGAAGTTAAACAAACTCCGACACCATCGCCAAAACCAACGCCTTCACAAACAACACCTTCAATGACTCCTGAACCTATGGAAGTACAAACTCCTGTTCAAAAGTCAACTCCTAAACCGACTCCAACATTTAAACCAGAACCTACTCCTCAAATAAATCGTAAAACTCCTGCGTTTCCTTACTGAAAAAATAACGTTATTTTTATTTAATATTAAAATTTTTATTTGATTGAAATGACGACTAAAGTCACTGAAGCAATGAAACAAAAGTTTTTGGTAGAATACATTAAATCAGGAATTATTCCAGAAGGTTTTTACGTTCATACTATGAAGGATGGTAGAGTTCAGTTTAGAAAGATAAAGCAACCATTAGATAAAGAAGGAATTTTGAGAAAGATTAAACTTCATGAGGACAACATTGCTGAACTTAAGAAGAAGTTAGAAGAGTTGGAGAAAGGAAGAGAGTTATAAAACAATGAATTCAACAGGGTTAGAAATGAGGTTAGAAAACGTGTTAGATCTAACATTCTAACATAAACATTATTTTTGCGCTATGTTTTCATACGTGTGGGAGTGGTGAGATCATTTATTTTTAAATAAATGTGGGAACAAAAATATAACATTTCTACTCAGCAGGAATGAGACCCTTACTGACTATGTATTCGTTTAATACTTGATGAAAACAATGGTACATATTATCGTATGGGTATACACAACGTCTGTTTCCATCGTCGTCGTATATGTAGAGCTCAAATCCAGTCCAACCTTCTTTTGTACAATATGTAGCTTTATTTAAGTATGCATTTATGTAGATAAGGCAATTTTCTTCATCGCTCCAGAAATAATTTTTGTTCTTTGTTGAAATAGTTTTTGTTCCTCTGCGACCATAAGGAATGTATGCAATGAACTTTGCGTCATAAGGGATTGTAATATATTCAGGGTTTCTTTCATCGTCAATGGGTCTGTCTTTGTTAAAATGCATGTTTCTCAGTTTTACTTGAGTTTTGAATAGTTCACGGAAACGTTCTGGGAAAGAGTCATAGTAAATGTAGTCAGACATGTCTTTGTAATGAAATAAAAAATTAAAAAAAAAATAAAAATAAGGTTATTTTTATTTAGTGAGGACGGTAGTGAATTCGTTAGTGAAGTCATTAGTGAAGTCATTAGTGAAGTCGTTAGTGAAGTCGTTAGTGAAGTCGTTTATGTGTCAGATGGTTTTGTAAATATTTAAGGTTAAGTTGGGTAAGGTGGAACGCAGTGCCACAGTACCCAACTTACCCATACTAACTACATGAAAGCGTGCATGCATAAAGACAGGTATTGTCAGCAATGACTACCTGCCCAGCTATGAGTGATCAGAGAATTACCATCTCATGCTTTTTGAGAACGTTTCAGCCAGGACCCTCGTATGTTGACTGTGAGAAAGGCATCCTTTATTTGAAATAGATGCTTTTCCAACAATCAAATTCGAAGATCTTCGATGTTGTTGTAAAAAGAGAGGGAGAAGGAAAGAAGAGGAAGGAGAGGAAGAAGGAAAGGAAAAGAAGAAGAAGAAAGAAAAAAAGGACATATTAAATATAATGCGCACTTAATAGTGCCGAGGCGGCGGAGCCGCCGAGGCGCGATTTTTTTGACCCTATATTACCGCACGGCAATGTTTTTCTCGATTTTGTACAGCCCTAACTCTATGTACATATGAAAAATTGTTTTATTGTTCAGTTTCAATCTCCGTAGAAAATCTTAAAAAATAAAAAAATTAAGGGAGGCTTCCGACCAGAAAGCCCTCTCAATTTTTTGTGATGTTTACACCAAAAGTGAGATTCGTTAAGCGTTTTTCTCGTTGAATATTGAGTTTCCCGGATTTTAAGTTATTCATAAAGCTTCTCTATATTATACCCTATCTACTGATATGATTATTTTTGAAAAATCTCTTAAATCGACCTGCACTGAATTTTTTAGGGAAAATTCGAAATTTTATAGGCGTATTCTGTAACGTTTTTTTACGGAATAAAATCCGAAAAATAATTTTTTGAAGAATCATTTGGGTAGAATACTTATCGAAAATTATATTTATTATAATTTTGGTCGATAAAAATAAGCGGATTCAAAACTGGCAAAAACCCTTTCGGCAATTTGTGGACGATTCCGAACCCCCTCATTTTTGAAATTTAATAAGAAAAATAGAATCTTTATTAAATATAGATTTTAAAAAACTTGGTTATAAATTACGAAATTTTCTCACTTGGGCTAAAAAGTGACAATTTGGTCGGAAGCCACCCTTAATTTAAAAATTGTATTTTGTTGGATGAATTTTTCAAAATTATTTTTATGGAACGCCACATGTATTTAACAATTGATGTAGATGCAAAATTTTTCTTTTTACACCGAAAAACGTCGTTATTTTTCTCCTATGATTTTCAGTATTTAATGCTAAACAATAATTTTCAGATTTTAGTAATAGATGCATATGTAAACTTGGTAATTAAATGATAAAGGTCTTCAGCATTGCATGAGCATTTAGGAGATATTATTTTCCAAATTTGATTTTGTTTTTATGAGGGTTTCACATATGTATTCTAATGGTTAGTTGTTTATGCAACTTTAAGCTTGAGTTAAATATATTTTGGTAAAAGTAGTATATATGGATGGGTTTAGTGACTTTTTTTGTTACATCTATATATAGACGATGCATTAAAATATATTTATTTATAAACACATTAATTTTTAACATTAATTTTAAAATAATTTATTTTTTTATTCTTACATAAATGACCCAACAAGTAAAACCAGATAAAGTGGATAATAGAATTTTAGAGGATGGTGTTCCTGTTTACATTCAAAGATTTAAAGGAAAACAATATTACAGAATGATAAATCCTGAATATGTGAAACATTTATTTAAAAAGGAAGATTGTGAATTATTAAACGTTAATGATTATGAAAATACTAAATCAAAACTGAGATATAAATATATTGGAAGTGATGAAAGGTGTAAAGATAAAGATAAAGTTTATACAGTTTCATATAATGAATGGAAAACCGATAAGATTAGAAAACATTTAGGAGATTATGGGGAAAAATCTGAATTCTTTAAATCTAGTATATACGAGAGAGTAAAAGAAATTAGATATAATTATCATTCATGAATGAAAAAAATAAACACATTAAAAAAATTAACATTAATTTTAAAATAATTTATTTTTTTATCTTTTATAAAAGAAGCTATATATAGATGATGTCAGATATTCCGCGATTAATTAAACATTGTTTAAATCCTGAATGGGTTAAACTTCAATTTAAAAATGAAGATTGTGAATTATTAAATGAATATGAAAGCCAAAATAAGCTAATGAGGTATAAATATAATGATAAAGAATATTTAATTTCATGGAATCAATGGAGTCATAATCAAAGACCTCATAAACGGGAAGAAGAAATTGAAAATAATGAAATGGAAATCATTGATGACATTCAAGAGGATGGAATTCCTAAATTTTGTAGAAAAACCTTTAGAACTAAGTTAGGAGCATATAAACGTAGAGTATTAAATCCTGAATACATAAAACATTTATTTAAAAAGGAAGACTGTGAATTATTAAACGTTAATGAATATGAAAATGCTAAATCAAAATTGAAATATAAATATATTGGAAGTGATGAAAGGTGTAAAGATAAAGATAAAGTTTATTCAGTTTCATATAATAACTGGCACACGTTAGGGATAAGAAAACATTTAGGAGATTATGGTAAAAGTTCCGAATTCTTCAAATCTAGTATGTACGAGAGAGTAAAAGAAATTAGAAATAATTATTTTCATGAATGAAAAATAAACTTTAAAAATTCATGTCTTACATTTTTTGAATAATTTATTTTTTTAATTCGTATGAAAATGAGTGTCAAGACTAACGACGTTAAAAAATTGGGATTCACAAACGAGGAAATAAAGGATATATTAGAGGAGGCGAGTTATGAAGTTAATAAATATTATTTAAGAAATTGTCAAAAATTCGCGGAGTTATTAAATGATTTAGATTATGATGGAAAAATGAATAAAGATGATGTTATAAATTCTTATATCCCACATCTGAAGAAGAAAAACCTAAAGAACCTGATGTTTTCCCTGAATATTATGAAGAACGGATTAAAGATGATGAATATGATGAAATTGAAAGACTGGAAAAAATAAGAGATGAAATAGATGAAAAATTAAGGAATTAAGAGAAGTTGAAAAATATAATGAGAATGAAGTAGAGGGTTTAATGAATATCCAGCTTCAGAATCAGAAGTTCAAAAATCTCATGAAGAAAGATATAAAAATTACTTTTTGGAATCTACTAAAAATTTATTAGATGGTGAAATAGATGAAACACTTTCAGAAGAAGGCACAAAATTTATTCATAAACATAAGTTACAATTTATTGACGATGGAGATTATCCATGTATATTACTTTCACCTCCTCTTGATTCTGAAAAATTCAAAAAAGCACTGAAAAATGTAACATATGCAACAAATACGATTAAGAAAGAAGACCATGATATTTACACAAATTATTATTTAAATAAATGTACAGGTGTTGATAAAGTTTTTGATTTGTTAGATAAAATATCAAAAGAAACAATTGGTACATATAAAATTTTATGCGATTGTGGTTTCATTATTGAAGATACTAATAATGTTTCATATGAAAGAACAGCACCGAAGGAAGACGAAGTTGAAAGGTCTATACCATTCGTTATTAAGAATATAAAAGATATGAAAACTTATAAACATTATATTTATTCATTTATTTCAGAAAAAATGGAAGCAACCCATAAAACATCATCTCATCATTTTATAGCTATTCATACATTCCTTTTCAAAGTTGTGAAATTAAATAAGACAGGAATTAGATTTAATGTATCAGGGTACGCATTCTTGAGTAAATTAAAATGTATTCGTCACGTCGCAGATGATAAAAATTTATGTGTTCTTAATTCATTTTATGGACTTTAGCCCTGGACTTTAAAAAAAATAAACTTTATTTTTATTTATTTTTTAATTTTTTATTCTTACATAAATGAACAAAAACGGAACAGCTAAAATGAATGATAATCAAATTAGAGCAGAAGGTAGAAGGTTATTTAAACGCTTCTATAACATTCCTGATGGTGTTAATCCTAAAACTCGTAGAAGTTATTTAAATGAA